ACAGTGCCTGCCTAGGCCGGTAGAATCCAAACCTTGAACACCCCATCAGAAAGAAGATGTGGATGCACAACTCCAATGAATGGGTATTCCTTGATGGATTATATTGAATTATGTACATTATCAAACAAAAACTAAAATATAAAAATATACACAAATAAAAATTGAAGATCTTTTTTTCTGTATTCAAGTGGTAAATCTTGCCCCCATTTTCCTTCAAACAGGTTCTCTCAAAGACAGGGACCAAGTCTTTTCTTGTTACCTTACTTAGCACAGTACCTTAAATTTAGAGGTATTCAATGTTGTTGAATGGCTGACACAACAAATGAATATAATTAGAGCTTACTCCAAAGAGAAAATAACAGTCATTCAAAATGGGAAGAGGATGGCAGTGTTGAGGAAGCTCATCCATCCAGAGACCTCTGTTTCAGTCAGTTGTGGCTACCACTAACTAGCTGTGAGACCTTAGGCTATTCACTTCATGTCTCTTTTCCTTGGTTCCCTTATTTGTAAAATGAGACAGCTGGTTTAACTGGCCCCTAAGGCCTTATATAGCTCTACATACTCTATGAAATGCTATATTCTCTCCTCACATATAACAAAATCATTCTATCATCCAAAGATGGAAACATGAGGTATTTTTCTAGTGGTTGTAATAAGGATCTCATGTATATTTAGTTTTGGGAGCAGCATAGTACCTTCTTTCACACAGCATCCTAGGGGTTCTCAGCAGAGGCGCCTTAGCCAATCACCTTCCTTGTCATCAAGTCTTCTCAGCAGCTACTTAACTCCTTGCAGCCCACACTCTTGTGGGCTGCCATGGCATTTGCTTTACAATTCTTTGCACATCTGCCACTATCCCTGGCTGGGAGATTTGGATATCTTTGTAAAGCTTAAGTCCTAGGGGAAAAGAAGATGATGGTGTCTGCCTTTCTAGATCTCAGCCTTTGGTACTTAACATATCTTTCTTGGACAGCTTAACCTGCCTTTTATTCCTTCTGCTGTCAAGTATGTACCTTCTCATTGAAGTTAAAAACCCTCTGCCTGGGGCCGGCCGAGTGGTGCGTTGGTTAAGAGCTGGCTTGGGATGCCAGAGGGCCCTGGTTCGGATCCCACATATGAGGGCCAGTGACACTGC